ATGTCTAACTCTCTGAATTAGTAAAAATTTTGACAGCACTCCCTTTAGAAAATGAGACTTCCCAGGTTTATACTAAGCCAGATACAAAAACAGAAATGATCTGTAACTTTGGATAATCAAACTTTGTCTAACTCTCTGAATGAGTAGAAATTTGGGCAGCACTCCCTTTAGAAAACGAGACTTCCCAGATTTTAACTAAGCCAGATATWTGAAAAAGACAAGTTGAATTTTGACAAGTCAAAAAGTTAGCTAACTTCTTGGACTTGTAAAAATTTCGGCAGCGCTTCCCGTAGGAAAAGTAGCTCGCCAAGATTTATACAAAGCCAAGTATAAGAAAAGATCTCAGAAAATGCAAGAATTAACCTAAGTAGAAAAAAAGTTACTACAGAAAATGCAGGAATTAAAACTAAGTCCTATGGCTCTATCAAGTGGCGAGCAACTAAAACCAACTATCTATAAAACTGAAACCCAAACAACCTAGTCATCTCATCCTGTCACATGCAAACCAAACCACGAACGTAAGTACTCTCACTGTCCCAAGTTCATTCCAAATAAATAGTTCGCGAATCTTCAWRTTCTTGAACCCTTATACCCATCTTACAYAAGACATAGAGCTGGACCATTCGCCATGGAAAYAATGCCCAGCTTRTCTTTATGATATACACGAACAGGTTGCACAACTACTTCTTTCTTCTTGTGGGCATATGACTAGGTCATTCGCCATGGAAACAATGCCTAGTCGCCGTGAGCTGTTTAATATCCAAAGTTTTAGTTTTTCTTTGACTTTGTTGAAAAAGAAAAGACAAATATGGGCAGGGGGCTGAAACATTCACAGTAGAAACAATGTTTACCTTGCCCAAACTATTTTCATTTATACTTTGTACTTTCTTTTTTCTCTTCTTAATGATATGGCTTAATGCTGGATCATTCACAGTAGAAACAATGCCCAGCTGCCAATTGACATGCAAATATACATAAAATATTTCCCCTTTTTACTAAGTTTAACTTATGTGTGTGGTTTTCAGGCTAAAA